GGAAAATCATACTTAATTGCTTCTAAGCAAGGCAGATAAAAATATGATAAAAAGATAATTCAGTGATATGAAGGTGAAATATAAAAAAAATATGTGAAATGCAGATTGATGCTATTCCCAGTGTGCATGCTACTGTTTTTTGGTTGTTTTTTTCCCTATTGAAGTTTACTTATAAGATGAAACTGTACCTGAGAAAAGGAGTAGCTTCGTACTGCCATTTAAGTTGTAAGTCTAGTGTCTGATTTCAGTGGAAGCTGCAGTCTTCTGTCTTGATTTCCAGAGTACTTCCATGGGTATGTCTGAATTGCTGAACCTGAAGTTAACTTACCCAGAGCTCTTGGCCACCATGGCCAGGCTATTTGGTGCCTCAGCCTAAGCCAGTCTGATTAGATTGAGTTACCTTCTCCATACATGGCACTCTGCAGTAGGCAGGCACAGACTTCAGACACAGCCAGATTGCCCCAATTCCACTCCTATCCACACACCCACGGGCTGGCTGTATCTCTGTAGATGGAGATCTGCATTTCTGTGATGTGTATGCTGTCTGAACCTCACCCTCAGCATTTCTGAGCAAAACCAGATGCTTTGCAAAGCAAGAGGCACCACGAGGCCGCCAAAAAGTGTATTTGTTGGTATTCAGAGTAAGGTGTCTGAATGGGGCTTGTTCCGGGTTCCCTTTGTACAGCTCCCTGCAGGATGAACCCCAGGTCAGAGCAGGGATTCACAGCTCTGCTGCCTGTAAACATGACACGTGCACCCAGTGATACAGAGTAGAAGGAAATAGTCGTTGTGCAATCTGCAGGCAGCATAATCACTGTGATCACAGTAACATGATGACTTGTTTAATTTATTTTAAGGCTGACACGCTTGCCTTGTTTTGCTGCGTGAGCCAATGATGTTTTATCATCTCATGTGAACCCTGGGAGAACCAGGCAGTGATCTTTTTTTAAATCCAAGTGTGTCAAATGCATAACTGAATATAACACTGAGCTGCTTTACCCTGACTTGAGCTCTGGAGCAGACAGATGAGCAAGTCTCATGTTCAGTCAATGTAGAATCTTTTTAGTGTAATCTCCTTGCTGAGAACTTCCACTTAGAGCACTTTCTGAGGAAGAGGCCCAAAGCTTTATGAAGTGTAATAATAACCTAGGACAGCTTGGCCTGGAAATGTCTTTCTAACCCCCACATCTTTTTGTCAGCTACTTTATGCATTAGAAAGTGAAACCACAAATTCATCTTACACTGATGGAACAGTCATAAAGTGGTTATGACTGTGGCCCTTTGCTTGCAAATTCACCACATGTTTAACCAAGAGGACAAAGTCCCATGAACTGTCCTGCACAAGGAGATTCAGTGCCACTCTAAAGGCATGAAGTTCCTTGGCATCCACAGGTACAGACCCAATGGTCTGCTCGGTTGTGCTGTTCAGCTGGTACACATGGAATGTTTGTATCAGCCCATAATGGTTTTTTTTTCTGCTCTGAAAGAAGCACAGAAGAAGTAAACAGTGTGAGTCCTCCTCCAGGTGTCTGAGGAATTTAAGCTGCAAAGTGACACCACCAATATCAGAAGATCATTAATAGGTTGCAAGGAAGGGTGTTGACCCTCTATTAAGTTTTTCATCCTTCCTGCATTACACAAGAGGTTAACAAGTTACTACACCCAGTCCAAGGCACTATTAGGAGCCATGTTCCACATGACAGTGTCTCTGGGAGGAAGCAGGACAGATTAATGTGACAAAGGAAGGAAAGTCAGTGCAGTGAGCCCAAGAAAGTCTGAACGTTTCTCATGTACTCAACCATACCCTGGCAGGCCTGAATAAATTGAAACTTTCCAGGACACCTAAAAGACAACAGAATGCAGGACTTCTGGGTTTTGTTTTTTAACTCATTAGTACTGAGATACATGTACTAAAACCTAGGCATTTCAAGTAATATGGATTAAGAAATGAAGGGCAGTAAGACATACCTAGTTGATTTTTATGAGATATAGACATTTTTTAGTTCAGAACTTCTGTAAAACAAGGTATGATCTTTGCAGCCAGAATGGTCTGAAATTTCCCAAGCTGTAATCCAGACAGTGCCATCACAGCTTCAAGATTAAAACTTACACCTTTGAATTGTAAGCAGCTTTCCCTTCTCACTACAAAGAATTACGGGTGATTCCAAGAATTTAGGAGACTGAGACACACTTATTTCCCTATCCCAGTGATTTTCTGTATGTGCCATCTTTAGTTGTTCTACTTAATAAAAATAAGCCATCCCGATTCAGAGCACATATTTTGGTATTAATATATGAAACAGTAATTTAAGTTGCATGTATGGGAGGTAGGCAGACTGCAGGAGTAATGTAAACATAAAAAGTAAGGGTAGTAAGATGACTCCTGTCATACATGTCACAGGCATTTAGCCTTTTCCAGTCCTCACACTGTCCAGCAAAGGGTTTTTGGGGATCATGTTTACACAACCCAGCCAGTATTACTGTTTTGGTACCTAAGCAGCAAATTGTAACCTCCACGCCCACGCCCGGCTATCAGCATGAATACAGTGGAGCAGACTAAAGGAAAACATGCAGTAACCACATCTGTATATAACAGTTCTGGTTTTAAATTGGTTCATTCTAGCTCATATTTTATCTCATTTCACAACTCTGTAGAGGAGGAGCTGTGTCTTACATTTCTGGGATGCTGAACGGGACACTGAGCAGGCCTGGGGTCTTTGGTTGGAGTTACCACACCAGTACTGATCACTGAGTGTTCCTGTGTGCCAGTGCAGGACAGGACAGCCCAGAAGAAGATACCACTTCCCTTTTCAGAGAGGCAAAGGAGGGATGCAGCTCTCAGCAGCAGTCTTTTTCACCAAAAACTCTTTGGAGCTTTGCTGACTACAGTACTTAACAACTCCCGGTTTCCCTGCTTTTTTAAGTGAGTAGGTTGGCTGCCGTTCACAGAGACCAATTACCATTTTAAGAGCAACTTTTTGGCACCAGCTATTTATATGGAAAACGGCCTGTCATGGTTTAACCCAAGCCAGCAGCTGAGTACCATGCAGCTGCTCACACACATCCAGTGGGATGGGGAAAGAAGGAAAACGGGTTCTGCCCCTTTATAGCTTGATGGCATTAGGGTACACTGTGCACAGGTATCTCCTAGAGCCTTAACACTCCTGTGGGTCTGATGTGCCAGGACATCTGATCCACACAGTCCTGTAAACTCAGCTGTCCCTCCCCTCCAGCTGTCGGGAGGCAGGGCCCCTCCAGTACTGGTTTTAGGATTCTCCACTTCTTGTAAAAACAGATCAGAATTTCTTTCCGTAGGATCAGAGGAGTAAGATTAGCCCTTACTCTCTGTCTTGGAAATGCCCACTGGACACTGGAGCAGCAACTTTCCTGGAAGAACCTCCATTTGTGATTGTTTTTCTCCATTTCACAACTAGCAATTTTATCATATCATAAGCCAGTGTTACAAAGTACAACAGAATCAACCTTAGCCCAGCCCCCAGAGGTGATAAACAGCACAAAGGGAACACACACCCCAAGTAAGGCACTGCATTGACGCAAACCTGAGAACAAGAGCAACACCTCTTGAGAACAAACAAATCAACACTGTGTCCAATGACTATTAAATTAATATAATGAATGCTTGTAATAAAATTGTTTGACACGCTCTGGTCAGATCTGTTGTTATCTCCACCCTTTGTGCCCCACACTGGGTGCCAAAAAGGACTGTCATAGTTTAACTCCAGACAGCAACAAGGTCCCCTCTTCTTGTTCACCACCCACCACCTCCCACTGGGATGGGGAGGAGAATGGGAAAAAGAGCAGTTTAATAATTGAAATAAAATTGAATAAATAATACAACAACTCTAATGAAAAGCAAGACAACAAAAAGAGCACAAGAAATAAAACTCAAGACAGGCAAGTGATGCTCAATACAGGTGTTCAGTCCCCACTGACTGATGCCCAGCCCATCCCCAAGCAGCAACTGGTGGCTCCTGGACAACTTCTCCCAGTTAAACACTGGGCACAGTGTTCTATGGCATGGAATATCCCTTTGGCTAGTTTGGGTCAGCTGTCCTGGCTGTGCTCCCTCCCAGCTCCTCGGACACCTGCTCGCTGGCAGAGCACGGGAAACTGAGAAGTCCTTGCCTTAGACTAAGCACTACTCAGCAACTAAACCAGCAGTTTGTTACCAGCATTATTCTCACACTGAATCCAAAACATGGCACTGTACCAGCAACCAGGAAGAAGGTTAACTCCCAGCTGAAACCAGGACACAGATTAAAGCTAAAATCCAGCTATCACAATTTTAAAACCCAGCAGGACTCCAGACATGTTTTACTTAGTTATTGCTCCTCTAATAAAAAATACGGAGTGTTCAACCAGATAATCTGTGTTGATTATACAATGAATCCATGTTAAACAGGTTTTAAGATAACATTAAACAGTAAACACATTCTACACAGCACTGTGCAGCCTTTTACAAACAGAATAGACAGAACACAGACAGATAACTCCTGATCTGACTGGAAAGAAGGATTATCAACAGAAACTAATATACCTGTGTTAGTGCACTGGTTGATATTTCCTTTGAAATAGTACAGCTTGTTTTAGTAAAAGACTTGTATTCCCAGATCAACTGATATTTTTCCCTACCATTGACTAAATTTTAAAGGTCCTGCCAAAAAACACTCCAATATTCTGTCTTCACTTCAGCATGAAGACAGAAGCAAAGATTTTCTGGTAAGGACCTAGTACAACCATTACAACAAGGGATATAATACACATTGGAAGCTTTATAACTTTGGTATTGATATTTGCTGTATAAAAGTTTAAAAAACAACCTACAAGTAGAAATTGCCTACAACTGGAATTACAACTTTACCAACAAGCATTGAAAATTATTTATAAATCACTTTGTTCACAGATTTTGCAGTGTTTTGGTTGCCATCAACCTCGTCAAATAAGAGGAAACGTAAGTAAGTATCTACCAAGTGACTTACCTGAAGTCACCATGAATCAGTGGCTGAAATAAGAACACAGTCCTGCCCTCCTGCTTTCCACTCCCTGTGTCCTAATCACTGATCCAGCACGGATTCAGGCTCCAGACCACACATCTTCCCTGGGTATAAGCCACAGTAATTGGCAGCCGCTGGAGAGTGCAAGAGAGACGGAGATCCCACAGGGGATAACTAAAGTTTACTAAAGGCTCTCATTTTGGTCAGGTAACATTCACACTGCTGGGCAGGATGATCCACACCTGATCCCACAGGCTGACCAGCAGGCTCATGGAGAGTGTTACTCCCTGATCCTGTCTCACAGAAGGCAGAGTCTGAACACCAACACCCTTGTTCTTTCCTGGGGACTATCAACTGGGGCTGAACTACGTGTTCTGTGACCCGGCCCCCTCTCTCCCATGGCAGCAAGAGAAAATCATTACAACTAGAATCAGTTCAGATTCATTGTTACTGGAACACCCATGACTGTTTTTTCCTAACTGCAGCACCATTTGAAAAGGTATATTGATAACAAATTACAGGCAGAGATGACCCTTTTAACTTGAATACTAAAATACTGATCTTAAACAATTACATTTTTTTCTTTCTTAATCTACCACTAAGTGTTCTAGAGACAACAGTTTAGTTACAGCTGTTACTATCACGTGCTTCTTAGCGATGCACACTTATAACACAAGAATTTATTTGTAATAAACCAAGGATTTCTAAATATTTTGTAAATTCTGTGTTAGAGGAAAAACCTGACTTTGGTAATTCTTTGAGCATCTCTAAATTCAATTAAATCACATTGCAGTAAAACATTTAAAGTGTGCAAACTATGACAGTGACTTCTGCAAGAGCTTTTATTCTGAAATAAACACAACCATCATTATTTGAAAAAAATCAATCTCAGTAGAAACCTAGAGAGATAAAAACTTAACAGCTAATTTTCAGAAGTGAGGAAAAATGAAAACTGGTAACATTATTTGTCTCAGTTCGTTCCTAAGGGAGGACATTTTGTCAGCTTCCAGGGAACACGTTCTGGTTTCACTGGCTGTGTGCACAAGCTGTGCAGCCTCAGCGGGCAGAGAACCTCATGCTGTGAGCTTCAGTGTTTTGGTACAGATTCAGTGTAGAAACACAGCCCTGTCATGCAGTGAGCAAAAAATAAATGCCAGGCTGCAGAGGCTCATGTTTCTATAGGTAGATCCAATTTCTAGATAAAACAAGCCACTAACCTTACCTGCAGTGAAGCCCATCACAACTGTCTGGATTTCTGCCTCCCAAATGTGATCTGCAGACTGTGGTCATCATCAGATGATGCTACAGAAACAGCTGCTTAAAACCCTCTAATGTAATGCATGGACAGAAACAACCAAGGAAGGAACAAAACGGAGAAAAACAAATAAACATTCAAAGTTAAGCTTAATTTTTATTTGGCAGTAAATAAAAATCACTGTGGCAATACTCTACAAAATGATCACTGGAATTTTTTGTTAGGAGGCCACAGGATTACAAGGAACATTGAAAAGTATTACAGTATGCTTTTAATATACAGTCCATCCAGAGCCAATTCTTTTTTATAATGTTTTTCTGCATTGCAGGCAAGGCTGCACAATTATAGAAGCAGATCAGAGAACTCCCCATGATGCTGAATATTGATTCAGAAATGAGATTTCAGGTAAGTGTGAGGATCCATTTGCACAGATCTGACTACAAGTTTGGGATCACTGCAGCATCTGATGTGTTCCTTTCTGCAGTATAGACCATATTATTGAATTAAATTAGCATATCAAAACTTCATATGACAACCAGAACATCACATTAACTGAAAGGTAAAAATATATCCAAAGTTTGCAACAATTAAAACATATTTTTCTTTCCCTTTTCCCATTTCTCTGAGGGGCTTTTAAATAACTTAAAATAAATCAGTATGCTTAGTCCAAGTATTTTCTTTGCATATCAAAAAACCTAACAATTTTCCCATCTGAAACCCTGCAGATACAAAAAATCTGTTATTCATAGTAATATTTCATGTTATTACAAAGACTTTGATGTACTTCATTCCAGCCATTAAGTAACATAGAAGAACATGAACAATATGGGAACAGTAATGAGGATTTTGAAGTCAGTATTTTATTTTGGCACACTTTCCAAGTAATAAAAAAGCTTATCTTTCCATGTTACTACTTCATATTTAAAGTTCAAATGATATTTTTAGAAACCAACTTATGTTCCAACTTCGATAAGTGTAGCAAATGTATTTGAAAAATGCATTGTATCAGATGTTTTGAGGTATATTAAAATAATTTTTGAAATGCAAATTTTCACTACTCACTGAGGTAAACTGGAAAAAAAGATGTAATAGAAATGACCAAAAAGGATTCAGGGCTAAGGAACAATCCTGAATTCCCTATTAAGGCAAAAACATAAGCCACAATCAGGGATTTTACCAGAAAATGAATCCATAAAACAATTGTCTTCCTTCAGATTTCCTTCAAATCAGTCTTCTCAAATCTCAGGGAAAAAGGCAGCTGTGAATGAAGAAGAACCCAACCTGTCTGTCCCTTACAGTCCTTACTAACCTCTCCCATCCTTTGAGAGTTCCACATCTTTTTCCACTCCAATGCCTTTCCACAGGCAAATGTAACCACTGAACAACAATCACACAGGTCCACGAGTTATAAATTCGATTACAGGATAGTGATACCCAAATTCCACTGAAGTCAGCATAATTTACAGTCAACCTATGCAGGAAGTGCAGAGGAAACCAATTCCCCAATCTCTCATACAAAACAGTTTGCTGAAAATATAAAGTCTTCTCCTGGGAGAAAATCAGCAAAGTAGAAAAAATGAAATGGACCTTCCTTGAATTTCATTTTGACTCGGTTTCTTCATCCATGAATTCCACCAGTGGAGCATGTCTGTTGGCCTGAGCACCTTCTTGGAAATTAACCTTTTTTATCACTCCTGCCTTTGGAGCCCGGATGGTGTGCTGCACAAAACAGAGCAAGAGTGAACCAGCAGAGAACCTGTTTTTTTTCCTTCTCTCTCTCTCCAGCAAATGCTAACATTACTCTTTGGTGCAATTAGAACTGAAAAACATTGAATTCCTTCCTCTAACACATTTATTTCTTTATTTTTTTATTTATTTTAAACCTTCTTTTAAAACATTATACTTGTCCATTTTCAAGTTTTCTCATGAATATTTGATAAGTATACTGGGGACAAAAAATGCTATATAATGTTATATTATGAAGTATGAACAGCTGAATGTTATTTTACTTCACTAGCAGTTTTTGTTATTGTAATAAATACCAAGCAGAAATAACACAGTTTTAATCCAAAATGTTAATCATATAGCTGATTTGTTCCCTTAAGAGGAATCTACAGATTTACTAAAGACATTTTTGTTTTCTGGCCAGGAGGGGTCTTTACTGAGCAGATATTTGGCAAAATCCAGATGAAATACAAATACAGCTACTAATGACAGTAAAACAGCATGTTTACATACCAACCCCAAACTGGTTTGCTTGTACCAAGTTAGTTTTCCATTGTAGCTTTGTTTCTTGGTATTTTTCTACATAGGGCTAGTCTTGTATCAAAACATTTAATACCAGATAGTAAATCCTCACATCTAAGCCAAGACTCATGTAAATAATAATTTGCTTTTTAAATTTTACAATTTATATTTCAATAGCACTTAAAAAATAGCACCTCAGATAATGTCAGTCTGAGCTATCAGCTGGAGAGGCAGAAACACATTTAGAACCCAACTGCAAAGGATTTGGGGTCTAGGGTTTTTTTGGTGCACAGTTGGTTTATTTCATGTAATTTTAGTATAATTTAAAAAAGGACACGATAAGGGAAAGGCAGATGTTCTCAATTCTGCTACCACAAACTGAGGTTTATTTTAAACTAATAGTCAAGTCAAATCAGTTAAGGCTAAAAAACCTGTAATTCAGTCAAACACTGTGACAAGATAAAATGGCCAAAGTGCTGGTCCACTGAATGCCATGTGGACAATTACACAGAATCTTGAGTGTACTCTTGGTAAAACTTTATGTAAATAATAAAGATTATACACAAAGAACCCTGTACATATTTACAAAGTCTCCATTAGCTAAATTTCTGTCTGAAGAAACTGCAGATATTCCATATGCTTGGATCAAATCAGTGAGCAAGAGATACACCTGGACAGTCTTCTGCTACAGAAGTCAAAGGAGAGGAGGGGAGAGAAGGCCTGACACAGCTCACCAAATGCAGATACCATGGATTATATAATCACCATTTGTTAGCAAAATAACAGCAAATATAATCCTCTAAAATCTAGACAGACACAACACTCGTTTCATAGCAGATGAAGTGACACTGACATCTGCAAGCTACATCATACCTCAGTAATGCAACCGAAAATTATAAAATTCTGACCAGATTTTTATTTTCTCAGTAATTAAAACCTTTATATGTCACTTACCTCCATTTTCATAGCTATCATAACCATTAGAGGATCTCCAGTCTGAACCTTATCCCCTGCCTTCACAAACACCTAAATTCAAGAGAAAATTGGGGGGAAAAAAAAAAATCATTCTTGTCTATGCCATTAACAATCATCAGCTGGATCTTGACTAGCACAATCCACAGAGTGACTGTGGTTTTGCAAAACAGCCTCATATTATTTTTATTATTGCTGAATTGGGTATGAGAGTTCTCTAGATGACACTCAAGGGAAGTCAGAGCTACAGAGAGAGGTTCAGTGCCAGCTGCCAGGATAAGCAGGAAGACATTTACCTATCAAAGATGGAACACTAGAAGAGATGATGTATATTTGACCCTTTCTGGCTTAAGCACTTCTATTTTGAGAAAGTGCAGGACCTCCTCCTGGAGCCAGTCCCTAAAGGCTTTTAGAAACCAATACCCAGAAAGAAGATGGCAGAGCCACCTTGTTATTCAACTATAACTACACATTCAGTGTGTAGGAGATCCATGTTCAAGGTACTTGACTCTCTGAAAGGGTTCATGCTTTTTCATTGCTACCAGAATCCCTTAACCACTAAAATCTCGTGGAAATCTCTTCTGTGGAAACTTTGTCACTGTACAGAGAAATACACAAGACTTGCTGAGCTAAAGAAAAAGAAAGAAACACTCAGCTTAACAAAAAGGCAATTCTGAGCATTTCCTTTTTTGCAAGTGCATCTCTTAACTTGCTCTTTTGTTAGATGAAATGAATCAAACAGTCTCTAACACTTCAGGGACCTTCAACTTAAAAAGTAATTAAGATGAAGAAAAAATTAGTTAAGCAGTAGCATTAGTTAAATATTCAGAACTTCCAGAGCTCTAGAGAAAGAAGAATGGAAGCCTTAAAAACTCTTGGGTGGCTGCTGAAAACTCAAGAGTAAACAAGGCTTTTTCCAATTAGAAGTCATACAGCACTGGCATTTCAGGCTTTGAT